TTTGCTCTTGTTTTCTTTGTTTCTATTTCATTTATTTCTGCTCTGATCTTTATGATTTCTTTCCTTCTGCTAAGTTTGGGTTTTGTTTGTTCTTCTTTCTCTAGTTCCTTTAGGTGTAAGGTTATATTATTTATTTGAGATTTTTCTTGCTCTTTTTAAAAAATTAATTAATTTTTATATTTGGCTGTGTTTGGTCTTCGTTTCTTTGCGAGGGCTTTCTCTAGTTGCAGCAAGTGGGGGCCAATCTTCATTGCGGTGCACGGGCCTCTCACTATCACGGCCTCTTTTGTTGCAGAGCACAGGCTCCAGATGCGCAGGCTCAGTCGTTGTGGCTCACGGGCCTAGTTGCTAGGCGGCATGTGGGATCTTCCCAGACCAGGGCTCGAACCCGTGTCCCCTGCATTGGCAGGCAGATTCTCAACCACTGCGCCACCAGGGAAGCCCTTTTCTTGTTTCTTGAGGTAGGCTTATATAGCTATAAACTTCCCTCTTAGAACTGCTTTTGCTGCACCCATAGGTTTTGCATTGTCGTGTTTTCATTGTCATCTGTCTCTAGGTATATTTTGATTTCTTTTTTGATTTCTTCAGTGATCTCTTGGTTATTTAGTAACATAGTGTTTAGCCTCCATGTGTTTGTGTTTTTTACGTTTTTTCCCCTGTAGTTCATTTCTAATCTCATAACGTTGTGGTTGGAAAAGATGCTTGATATGATTTCAGTTTTCTTAAATTTACTGAGGCTTGATTTGTGACCCAAGATGTGATCTATCCTGGAGAATGTTCCGTGCACACTTGAGAAGAAAGTGTAATGTGCTGTTTTTGGATGGAATGTCCTATAAATATCAATTAAATCTATCTGGTCTATTGTGTCATTTAAAGCTTCTGTTTCCTTATTTATTTTCATTTTGGATGATCTGTCCATTGGTGTAAGTGAAGTGTTAAAGTCCCCCACTATTATTGTGTTACTGTCCATTTCCTCTTTTATAGCTGTTACCTTATGTATTGAGGTGCTCCTATGTTGGGTGCATATATATTTATAATTGTTATATCTTCTTCTTGGATTGATCTGTTGATCACCATGTAGTGTCCTTCCTTGTCTCTTGTAACATTCTTTATTTTAAAGTCTATTTTATCTGTTATGAGTATTGCTACTCCAGCTTTCTTTTGATTTCCATTTGCATGGAATATCTTTTTCCATCCCCTCACTTTCAGTCTATATGTGTCCCTAGGTCTTAAGTGGGTCTCTGGTAGACAGCATATATATAGGTCTTGTTTTTGTATCCATTCAGCCAACCCGTGTCCTTTGGTTGGAGCATTTAATCCATTCACATATTGATATGTATGTTCCTATGACCATTGTGTTAATTGTTTTGGGTTTGTTTTTGTCCGTGCTTTTCTTCTCTTGTGTTTCCCACTTAGAGAAGTTCCTTTAGCATTTGTTGTAGAGCTGGTTTGGTGGTGCTGAATTCTCTTAGCTTTTGCTCTTCTGTAAAGCTTTTGATTTCTCCATCGAATCTGAATGAGATCCTTGCCAGGTGGAGTAATCTTGGTTGTAGGTTCTTCCCTTTCATCACTTTAAGTATATCATGCCACTTCCTGCTGGCTTGTAGAGTTTCTGCTGAGAAATCAACTGTTAACCTTATGGGAGTTCCATTGTATGTTATTTGTCATTTTTCCCTTATTGCTTTTAATAATTTTTCTTTGTCTTTAATTTTTGCCAGTTTGATTAGTGTGTGTCTCGGCGTGTTTCTCCTTGGGTTTGTCCTGTACGGGACTCACTGCACTTCCTGGACTTGGGTGGCTATTTCCTTTCCCATGTTAGGGAAGTTTTCGACTAACCTTTTCAAATATTTTCTCGGGTCTTTGTCTCTCTCTTCTGCTTCTGGCACCACTATAATGCGAATTTTGTTGCGTTTAATGTTGTCCCAGAGGTCTCTTAGGCTGTCTTCATTTCCTTTCATTCTGTTTTCTTTATTCTGTTCTGCAGCAGTGAATTCCACCATTCTGTCTTCCAGGTCACTTATCTGTTTTTCTGCCTCAGTTATTCTGCTATTGATTCCTTCTAGTGTAGTTTTCATTTCAGTTATTGTATTGTTCATCTCTGTTTGTTTGTTCTTTAATTCTTCTAGGTCTTTGTTAAACATTTCTTGCATCTTCTCGATCTTTGCCTCCATCGTTTTTCCGAGGTCCTGGATCATCTTCACTATCATTATTCTGAATTTTTTTTCTGGAAGGTTGCCTATCTCCACTTCATTTTGTTGTGATCTGGGGTTTTTTCTTGTTCCTTCATCTGGTACATAGCCCTCTGCCTTTTCATGTTGTCTATGTTTCTGTTAATGTGGTTTTCGTTCCACAGGCTGCCGGATTGTAATTCTTCTTGCTTATGCTGTCTGCCCTGTGGTGGATGAGGCTATCTAAGAGGCTTGTGCAGGTTTCCTGATGGGAGGGACTGGTGGTGGGTAGAGCTGGGTGTTGCTCTGGTGGACAGAGCTCAGTAAAACTTGAATCCACTTGACTGCTGATGGGTGGGGCTGGGTTCCTTCCCTGTTGGTTGTTTGGCCTGAGGCAACCCAGCACTGGAGCGTACCTGTGCTCTTTGGTGGGGCTAATGGCAGACTCTGGGAGGGCTCACACCAAGGAGTACTTCCCAGAACTTCTGCTGCCAGTTATCTTGTCCCCACGGTGAGCCACAGACACCCCCCACCTCTGCAGGAGACCCTCCAACACTAGCAGGTAGGTGTGGTTCAGTCTCCCCTGGATTCACTGCTCCTTCCCCTGGGTCTCAGTGTGCACACTACTTGGTGTGTGCCCTCCAAGAGTGGAGTGTCTGTTTCCCCCAGTCCTGTCGAAGTCCTGCAATCAAGTCACACTAGCCTTCAAAGTCTGATTCTCTAGGAATTCCTCCTCCCGTTGCCAGACCCCCAGGTTGGGAAGCCTGACGTGGGGCTCAGAACCTTCACTCCAGTGGGTGGACTTCTGTGGTATAAGTGTTCTCCAGTCTGTGAGTCACCCACCCAGCAGTTATGAGATTTGATTTTGCTGTGATTGCGCTCCTCCTACCATCTCACTGTGTCTTCTCCTTTGTCTTTGGATGTGGGGTATCTTTTTTGTTGAGTTCCAGTGTCTTCTTGTTGATGATTGTCCAGCAGCTAATTGTGATTCTGGTGTTCTCACAAGAGGGAGTGAGAGCACGTCCTTCTACTCCGCCATCTTGGTTCAGGCCTCTAACAAACGCTTTACTCTGCATGAATCCAGAATTTCTTTGGAAATGTGCTTATTAATTCACTTTGTTTGGTTATTTTTCTTAGTGTTCTAACTACATTCTACTTGGTCTGTGGAACAGTGTATTTATAAATAACACTGTATCTGAATTTTAAGAATTTTCAGGATACTGATTATATATTATAGACTAAGAAAAATACGTCAGTATTAGTATAGACTTGGGTTAGTATAAATTGAGGTAAGTCCAAAGTTTTAGAACTTTAAAATAGGAACAATGTAATTTTCCCATAGATCTCAGTGATTAAAGTAGCTGGAGACCCAGTAGGTGAAACTTTCAAGAAATTTTATTCCAGTTTATCCTATACAGCATTTCTGCTTTAATGTTACTAAAACACAACACTCTTACAGCATCTCCCATGTCTCTCTATTTCCATAGTGTCAAGTTTAAATCTCAGCCTTGCACTGAATATTCACCTTATAAATTAGATGAATATGGATAGTGCTCTGGCATCATTCCAAGATGATTTTTGTAATCTGCTGGAATAAATCACAGAAAATAAAAAAGAAAGCCGTATAGCATAATCAAGTAACTTATATTCATTGATGCTGCATATTAATACACTGTCACCTTTGAACACAGTGGTGGTTTGTCAGCTGTGTAGAGAAATGATACTTAATGCTAATTTGTGAAATGAATTTTCCTTTGTTACTTGCAAGTGGATGATGTTCTCTTTGGCTAACAAATTGGAGTATAGGTTCCATCCACCTCAGCATATCAGTATATAAAATCTTTGGTCCCAGAAAATATTTCGTTAACTCTCAAAAGTGGCATAGACATTATAAAAATATTATCAAGTCATGCCCTTACTTTGAACAACCTTTCAGTATCGTCTCATTCATTCTCAATGCCCTGTGGTGACCTAAATGGGAAGGAAACCCAAAAAAGAGGGGATATATGTATATGTATAGGTGATTCACTTTGCTGTACAGTGGAAACTAACACGACTTTGTAAAGCAACTATGCTCCAATAAAAATTAATTTAAAAAAAGGTCTTGTATCTTTAGTATCATTTGAAAAGGCCCTGTGAGAGCTGGCCTCAGTCATACCAGTCTTCTTTAAGTTCTTAGATATGTGAAATTCTTTACCATCTCAGTGACTTCTTGTATATTGTTTGCTCTGCAGGTGACACCACACCTCTCCCTCCCAACAAACTTTTCTGTCGTGACCTTTTTGCATCTTTTGGGCATTGCCATTTCTTCAGAGAAGACTTCACTGATCTTCTCTTCTTTAGTTGTGTCCCATAGCTAAAATCTCTGATAGTACAATTTGGTTTCTTTCTTAGATTCATCGCTATCCATATCTGTTGTGATTATTTGTCTAATTCCCTATCCACAATAGGAGCTCTATGAAGATAGGGACGCTGTCCATTTTTGTTCACTGATAAATCCTTGGCAATTAGCACAGGGACTGGCACCATAATGGATGTTGCTTACAAGGTAGTTGGAGAGAAACCTAGTACCTTTCTGTTTCCAGGATCAAAGTTCCTCTACCAGACCCAGAATTCCTCAATGGACAAGTTGAGGAAACTTGTTTACATTAATTCAGTTCACTTATATTATTGCAGTATATTACTGCTAAACAATATGTATTCAATTAGATATACCTCTCTTTATATTTGCATGAATTTAAATTTGATTTACATGTGTTGAAAAGGTCAGTAGACAGTATTCTGGTATTTTATCAAAGATAATGGGACTGTTTGTTGTGGCTCTGGTTCTAGGCAGTATGAAACTGTGGTTCCACTTGAAGATTCTATTGTGACTGAAGTTACAGCAACTCTGCAAGAATGGGCCAGTCTGTGGAAACAACTCTATGTGGTAAGTATTTTATAACTAGTTTACTAGATCATTAAAGTTAATTGTACCAAGTGAAAAAATTATTGTACTTGTGCCAGTTGCAAATTTATAGATTTCTGAATATCGAGTTTTTCAAATGTATGTTCCTAATATTAACTGAAACATAGTAGACTTGAGTTTTCTCCAACCTGAAGAGAACACATTATTCATATACCTGCAGTTCTCTCCATCCTATTCCAGTCACTAGAATGTAAGCTCCATAACACCAAGGATTTTAGCTGTCTTACTCATTGCTGTATCCCCAGAAGCTTTCACAAAACAGGTCTTTATTAAATGAATGAACAAACTTCAGAGTTACATTGTGAACCTAATGGTGGGTAAAGACCAAGAAGCTGTATCAACACTTTCTTACAGCTAATAAGCTTAAAGGATATGTCATATATGATACTTTTTGCCAAGCCAGCAATTACTAGGTTAATAAAACCTCAGTTCATATCCTCTGGAAACTTAGAGAGTAGAGGGTGATAGAACACAAAAAATATGGACTGAAAATAAGTGGCAGGGTTTGGGTTCTGAACAAGATGGAGTAAACACATTCTATTTTTCTCCTACTAATCACAAAAATCCTGGACAAAACTCATGAACTACCCTACCGGAAAACTCTGAAAGTTAGGGAAAAGAAGGTAGACTATCTAAGGACCTTGAGACTCAAGGATTGAGTGAGTTCCCTGATTGTCTATTTTTCTTGCCTCCCATATATCTTGGCCTGGGTTGTAGAGAAGACTACAACCTGGAAATGCTAATGAGTGCAGACAAAAAAATAGCGCCAAGGAAAGCCTGTTCTCTCTAGCTAAAGGATGGCCCAGCAAGATAGAAACATCCTAACCTATCCCATCCATTCTCTAGGAGAACATCACAATAAAATCTATACCCCCTCACATTCAAACAGGCATTACAGCAGCAGACCAGAGCTTTGTCTCACACACACCCTTCCCCCACCTGCAGTAACAAGGAGATGTCCCCCTCCAGTGGAGCTTGTGGGTCAAACTCTGACTTCTCCTCTTCCCTGCTAAGTAATGAGGCAGTCCCCTTCCTCAGCAGGGCCTGTAGGGAGGACTGACTTCCACCCCACCAGAATTTACAAGGTGGCAACTCTCTTCAGCAGAGCCTGTGGGTGAGACCCTGGCTTTCACAACTACACAGCATTAACAAGATGGTGCCCTTACCCTGCAGAGTTCTGAGGCAGAACTCGACTTTCTTCCATGCTCTGAAGTAAGGAAGAAGCATTCCTCCACAGAGGAGCCTGTGGTTGGAGCTTTTGATTTCCACTCCCCTTGCAGTAATAAGGTGGTACCCTCCCCAACTGAGCCTGTGGGTAGTACATTGACTTTCACAACTCCCCACTCCCCTGCATATTACCCTATTTTCTATGCCTGCTCTGCTGAAATGAGGCAGTGCTTCTCCCCACTCAAGCCCATGCTGAGGATAATGGGGAGTGGAGTTCTGTCATATAGGTAACATGTAAACAGAGAAAACCGAGGAGTACTGGAGAGACTTTATAAACTAAATTGACATTTGAATCACAGTCCGCAAAAGTGAGCCTGCGATCACATTCAGAATCTAAACAGGTTGACCATTCACTAAAATAAAAGATTTAAGTAGGAATTAGAGTGTGATAGTATAGTACTTAAAATGTCCAGCCTACAACCCCAAATTACTTGTCATATGAAAAAATCAGGAAAAACTCAACTCTAACAAGAAAAGGCAATCAACAGAGGCTAACTTTGAAATGACACAAATGTTGGAATCATCAATAAGGATTTTAAAGCAGCTTTTGTAAAACTGCTCCAGTGAGCAATTATGAATTCTCTTGAAACAAATGAAAACATAAGAAACTGCAGCAAATAAGTAGAAAATATAAAGAATCAAATGAAAATCTTAGAACTGAAAAATACAATAATCAAAATTTAAAAATTACTGGTTAGGCTAAATAGCAGAATGGAAAGGACAGAGGAAAGAGTTAGTGAACTTCAAGATGGATCAGTAGAAATTATGTAGTCTGAATAATGGAGAGAAATTGAAAAAGTGAACTTAGACTCAGAGACCTGTGGTACAATAACAAAAGGTATAACATTTGAGGCATCAGAGTACTAGACAGAGAGGACAGGATGTGGAATTTAAAAAATATTTGAAGAAATATTGGCTTAAATCTTACCAGATTTGCAAAAGACGTAATTCTACAGATTCAAGAAGCTGAGTAAACTTCCAACACAATAAACCTAAAGAAATCCATACCTGGACCCATTATAGTTAAACTTTTGAAAATTAAAGCCAAAGAAAAAATCTTGAAAGGGAAACCAAATGTTGCTATTAGGGAAAGGGCAATTTGAAACGACAACAGATTTCCTATCAGAAATTGTGGAAAACAGAGGAAGTGCTAAAAAAAAAAAAAACCTGATGTCACCCCAGAATTGTGTATCCAGGAAAAATATACTTAAGGAATGAAAGAGAAATAAACACATTGTCAGATGAAAGAAAGCTAGGAAAATTTGTTGGCAGAAAATTGGTTGTAAAATAATGACTATGAAGGAAGTTCTTCAGACACAAAGGAAGAGATAATGGAAGGACAGTTGGGATATTAGAAATGGAGAAAGCAATGGAAGGGATAAATAAATCCTCTTCAGTTTAAAAAATTGTCTGATGATACAAAGCAAAAATTACTACATTTACATGGTTCTCAATGTATATAGAGGTTATATTTAAGAAAACTGTATCAAAAGTGGGAAAGGAAAGGGACATAAATTGTGGCAAGGTATTTGTGTTCCACTCAGGGTAGTAAAATGTTGATACTAGCAGGCTATAGTAAGTTACATACACACACACACACACACACACACACACACACACACATTGTGATCTCTAGAGCAGTCATTAAAAATATATGGTAATTCAAAAAGAGTCATGTACCACAGTGTTCATTGCAGCACTATTTATAATAGCCAGGACATGGAAGCAACCTATGTGTCCATCGACAGATGAATGGATAAAGAAGTTGTGGCACATATATACAGTGGAATATTACTCAGCCATAAAAAGAAATGAAATTGAGTTATTTGTAGTGAGGTAGATGGACCTAGAGTCTGTCATACAGAGTGAAATAAGTCAGAAAGAGAAGAACAAATATCGTATGCTAACACATATATATGGAATAAAAAAAAATGGTTCTGAAGAGCCTAGGGGCAGGACAGGAATAAAGACACAGACGTAGAGAATGGACTGGAGGACACGGGGAGAGGGAAGGGTAAGCTGGGACGAAGTGAGAGAGTGACATTGACATATATACACTACCAAATGTAAAATAGATAGCTAGTGGGAAGCAGCCGCATAACACAGGGAGATCAGCTCGGTGCTTTGCAACCACATAGAGGGGTGGGATAAAGAGGGTGGGAGGGAGATGCAAGAGGGAGGGGATATGGGGATATATGTATACATATAGCTGATTCACTTTGTTATACAGCAGAGAATAACACAACATTGTAAAGCAATTTTACTCCAATAAAGATGTTAAAGAAAGTATTATATGGTGATATAATAAAACTATTGTAAATAAATCAAAATGGAGTACTAAAAATGTTCAAGTAACCTATAGGAACATAAGAAAGGGGAAACAGAGGAAGGTAAAATGGAGGGAACAAACAGAAGTACTAAAATGGCAGACTTAAGTCCTAACATATGAATAATTAAGAGGTAGGAAATGGTAGAATTGATCAAAAAAGACTGAACTGTGTTTTGTCTATAAGAAACTCACTTCATATGCAGTGACACAGGGAGGTTAGGAGATAGAAAAATACATACTATGCAAACACTAATCAGAAGAAAATTGGAATGGCTGTATTGAAAAGAGATAGTAATATTAAGTATGAATTATCTCTTCCTTAAATAAATGTAAATAAAAATAAATAAACTTACTTTAGTAGAAAAAATTGATGTCAGAATAAAGAAAACTACTAGGAAGAAAGGGGCATTACAAAATGATAAAAAGATCAATTTACCAAAAAGACATAGCAGTCTTAAGTATGCATGCACCAAAAAACAGAGCTGGGAAATAAATGAAGTAAAACCTTAAAGGACTGAGTGGAGAAAATAGTTGAAACTAGAGAAATCAGATATTATACTTGGGGATTTATAACCCCTTCGCTTACTAAAGGATATAACTACTAAAAATTATCAAGGATAGGGAAGAACTGAACAGTGCCGTCAACCATCAGGATCGAATGGAAATTTTTAGAACATTCCACCCAGTGAAATCAGAATAAAGATTGTTTTCAAGCATACATGGGACATTCACCAAGAGTGACAATATCTTAGGTCATAGAACAGCTGTTAACAAATTTGTAATAATTCATATCATACAAAGGGTATTCTGACCATAATGGAGACAGCCTAGAAATCGATAACAGAAAGATTACAGAAAAATATTGAAGCACTTAGAAATTAAAGAAGCCACTCCTAAATAATCCATGTATCAAAGAGAAAGTCTCAAGAGAAATAAAAAAGTATATTAAAACTGAATGTAAATGAAAATATAACATATTAAAATCTGTAGGATGCAGCTAAAGCAGTGCCGAGAGAGACGTTTATAGCATTAAGTGCATATAACAGAAAAACATGTCAAATGCAGCTCCTACTTCACGAATTTAAGTTAGGCGGAGAAAGACAAAGATAAATATCATATGAATATGATCTCTCTTATATGTGAAACCTTAAAAAAAGAAAAAAAAAAGGAAGCACATAGGTATAGATAAGAGAGACAGGTTGGTGGTTGCCAGAAGTGGGGAGTCGGAGAAATGGATGAAGGGGGTCAAAAGGTAACAACATAAAAAGAATCTAAATTTAAGCAAGCAGAATGAAGGGAAAAAAAATAGCAGAAATTAATGAAATTAAAAATAGAAAAACAGTAGAGGAAAAACCAATCACACCAAAAGCCAGTTTTTGAAAATATCAATAAAATTGATAAACAT